ACACACACGCCTTGTGTGCCTCTGCTTTGTCCTGTGATGGACTAGTGACCTGTCAGGGCTGTACCCCACCTCTAGTCCATGGATCTTCCCCGTGACCCTGCATGGACAAGTGGGTATGGAATGAATTACTTCAGCAAGAAAAGAAAAAATAAATAAATTAACTTATTGAACAAATTCTTGACAGCTACTTCATTCTCATTGCTCATGTCATTTGGATGAGACAAAACTTCTTTTGGCATTTTTTATTTTCCTTTCTGGTCTTTTATATTAGCTGATTTTTTTTGTACTTCCCATTTCTGTGCAAAAATGTATAATTATTTAACATGCAGTTTAAGATGTGTAAAATGATTCCTACAGTTTTTTTTTTCCATATATTATTAATATTACAGCCATGATCTCTATACAGCTGGTGCAGCTATTCTGTGGCAATATCAGAGGTTTGCCAGAAAACATTAGTAAATAAACAGCTTCATAAAGAGACCCTTCATATTTTTTCTTCCCCTTCACATTTTCCACCGTGCTTTGTATTGTTTCTAAAATTCCATTAAGCATATTGGAGGTTGTGGTTGTAATGTGGCAAAGTCTGGAAACAGATGCAAGATATTCGTATTGCATGGCAACATGCTATAAACAAACAGTAATTTTTCTTTGTTGCATTTTGCTTTTCATATGTGAAGAATAAAGTGTGGAAAATAACATGTATTGCCATTTTAAAATAATATTCTTCCAGATAAATGTTCAGCAATTGCGTCTGTTTTCAAACAAATCCAAACTAATATAATTATATGACTGGCAAATGCAGTTATTGGTTTTGTCTTCTGTTTCTTAAAAGCTGTACATCTGTAAAGTAAAATAAAAATCAAGTTTTGCACATGTTCTAGGTATCATTAGACTGTTCTACAAAAAAAAAGAAAAAAGAAACTTGAGAATAGAACGCTGCAAATAAATATGAAGAGAAATTATGTGTGGTCCACATCCACACATTTATAACACACAAAAGTCAATGAAGTCTTTTATTTTGAAAATCCGACTGGGCTGATTTTACAACCTGTTCAGAGTTGAAGCAAAAGATCACACACAACCTGTAATTCTATGCAAGGATGTAGACGAGCTTTACTTTAAGCAGATGTGTCAGGAAGTTATGA